AATCACCGCCGTCTGACTCGATTCGCTCCATGTAAGCGGCGAGCCGAGAACATCCGATGTTGTCTTGATCTTAGCCAGAGAAACCGAACGTTTTCCTCCATGTCTCTTAACCATTCTCTCTATATCTCTTCTGTTATTCTCTTGTCTCCGTAATACGGCAATGTCAAGAACAGTTAAACCGCTCTTGTCTTCGATGTTCACGTTAATCTTGGAGCTCTCTAACATCAATTTCACAGCTTGGGGATTGTTCTCGTGCGCTGCGACATGTAAGGCCGTGTAACCATCTTTGTCTCTTCCGTTTATGACTCTTGTCTCGATCCTCTCTCCATCTTTTTGACACAATCTTAGGATCCATCCCATGAGAACTTTAAGGACTGTTAATCCTTCTCTTTGGTCCTCGTTCTTGAGGGCGATGTGAAGAGCGTTCTCTCCGTAAACGTTTGAGTCCACGATGCTCTCGGGGCAGACCAAGAAGAATTCTGATATCAAATCGATATTCTTGTTACTCACGGCAAGAAGCAATGGCGTCGTACCTTTTTGGGACAATGAAAATGAAATTAACGATTCCGTTACCAATCTGGTTAAACCGAGTTTATATAGGCAAGCTTTACCAATCCAGTAAAACACTAAAACTGAGCCATCCCGAGTAAAAAATTGTTCCGAGAAAATTGAACTGGAAAACCAAACCAAAGATGAAATAATGCCGACGAAAATAAAGAAAAATTAAAGATGAAATAACTTAAACTCGGATATTTTTTTTCCAATCCGAACAAAATAAACCAAATCGATTGGTTCATAGTAGTATTTATGGAATTAAAAATCCAAGTAAAACTGAAAACTCCGTGTGTTTTGGATCATTGATTAGAAAATTCTTATAATTTTTTTATGTTATATGTTATTTGTTATTTATTCAATACTAATTTATTTATAGACTAAATTAAACCCCACATATACTCAGGTTTATTTTATAATCTTTGAAATAAATCACGAAAAAATATTAAACAAAATATGATCACTTTTGAAAGTGAATAGAATAATATCAAAAATTTGATAATGAAACTCTAAATAACATAAGATTGATCATCTTTTTACATGTTAATTATAATTGACTTTTTTTTTTGAATTCATGAAATGAAAAATGAACTATTATTATTATTATTTTTTTTTTATCTAAAATAGAAAGACTTACATGTGTCTAAATCTGATCCACTAATTAAGTCGTAAAACTCGTAAAACTTTGATTATTCTATTCAAGAGATTTTAATTTATGATTTTTTTTAATATTGCTTTACCTAACAATAAATTGAAAATTAAATTATTCAAAATTAGAATATTGGCCCACTATTAAATTTTCTTTTTAATATTAGTTAGCTGCTTTAGTTTTCAATTTTATTTTGTATCAGACTATTATAATTTTTTCATTTCATTATTAGTTAGTTGTTTATAATTATTTTGTTTGTTTACTATTTGTGTTGTTACAATTTTTCAATTTCTTGTATTAACACATGACATGTATTAACACATGACATTATAGTCACATACTGCAACAATAAATTATAGTTCAATCAAACTGATATAGAATTAGATATTCTTCATTGATATATTGAACTTTCAAACACATAATCTTTTATGTTGGTGAGAAAAAAATTAAACAAAAGATAAAATCATACAATTAAATTATGAATGCTATAACTTATTATATATATTGGTTTATATCGAAAAAGGGGTTCCAAGAAAATCGATTTGGAAACCAAACCAAAGACGAACTCAACAATTTTTTTTTTTTTTTTTTTTTTTTTAAATAAAAGCTTTCCATTAATAAGAAAACATACAATATACCCCTCGGGGTTCAAGCGCTTACAATCACAGGGAAACCCTGCAAGCCAAGAAATGGCACAAAAGAATATACTCAAGCTAACTGCTCACAACCAACTCAACAAAATTGGTTGAGTTAAGCTTTTCTTATACTGTAATCTTATAAATTAAAAATAAAAATGTAAGATATATATATTTTTTTGGTACGTACCTTCTCTCCTTTTAAAACGAACAAGGCTTGGATCAACCTTAAGTAGTTCAAGTACTAGCCAGACGTGACCGTGATTGACGGCTAGGTGTAACGGCGAAAGTCCGTCGGCGTTAAGTGTCCGAGCAAAAGATGGTTTCAAGTTCATCATCTCCATCGCAAACTCTGCTTTCCCAGCGACGGCTGCCACGTGGAGAGGAGTATCGATGAACGGCACGTTGTCGGTTTTAGCGAGAACGTATGGATCTTCATGGATTAGTTCGTATAACAGATCGATGTTTCCAGATTTAGCAGCAGCTTCTAATGACCTCTGATCCATTTTTTAAAAGTTAAAACGTAAACCAAACCAACTTCAGAGAATGATGAATCTGTGGAACTGTTAGGATTAAATACATCTGACATGCGACACAGACACAGAGACGTGACTACGAAACAATAACAAGTTTGTGGATATAGGAAATTCGAATTAGCCTTATAAAAATAAGTGTGGAAAATTATAAGTGACTTGGCAGTATACATGGACGAAGTCAGCATCCAGCTGTAAACAAAGAATAGTCAAAAACATATTGATGTGACGTGGATTACAGGTGGGTTAAAAGCGACATCATCATCTCTTTGATCCAACGGCTACGATTATTAGTAAACTAAATTGCTTTTAAATTGTTTGGAAAATATTGACGTGACGTGGCAATAAACGTGGATTAATAGCAGCATCGTCATTTACTTGTGATCCAACGGACAAGATTAGGAAATAAATATTTTATTACCAATCTGGTTTTATATTTATTAAAAAAGCACCAAAAGAGTAGCCGTTATCAAGAGCGTCCAAAGAGGGCCGCAACGGTCACATTTTCTCCATTTCTCCGTTCTTATTCAATTCACATCGGAAGAAAAACAATAATTCTTCATTTCTGTCAATTGTTTTGGGTAGATTCTCAGATCAAGAGCGATTATTGTTTGTATTCTTGTTGCTATCCCAGATTCGGTTCTGATCATTAATGGAGTCGTTGATTTTGAAGAATGGGAAACCGGGGACTCCGGTGAAAGATCGGAGCAAGTCTCAGTCCAAGGTCCAAGAGACTCTCCGACCGTCGGAGAATGCAAACCCTAACGTTTCACAGGCAAGTCCGGCTAAGTCTCCGCTCGCGAAATCCGCAGCCTCCCCAATTGTGAAATCTGCGAATTCGAAGAAATCGGCGCAGAAGAATCAGATCCCGAACCTTAAACCGACCCAGGCGGTTTTCTCTCCCCGGAATCGGATCAGAGAGAGGAGGTTCGTTGTGGTGGCGAAGAAGAATTCGAAGAAGGGGAAAAAAGATCCGGCGCCTACGGAGTCGTCGACGGTTTCTGAGATCGATTGCAAATGCGGAGAGAGGAAGAATGGGAACATGAAGTGCGTTTGCGTCGCGTATGAAACGCTGCGTGCTTCACAAGAGGAGTTCTTCAAGAAACGAATCGAGTCCGAGGAGGAAATGGGAGGTGTGGAGGAATGCTGTGATCTCGGAGACGGAAATGAAGTAGATGGAGATGGATCCGGTGAACCGGAACTGATTGGCGTTTCTACAATGAAGAGGCCAAGAGCCAAGGTGGTGGAGGAATCACGGCGAAGTGTGCCTGAGTCCGGTAAAGTGATGAATCTAGTAGAAGCATTTGAGAAGCTCACTTGCTTCAGTGTCTCAAAGGCAAGCAGCAAGAAAGAAGATGAACAACCTGCAGAGGATATGAAGAAGCAGCACCCATGGAGTTCTTCGTTTTGTCCATCTGAATTGGTACTAACAGCTAAGAATCTGGGTTTAGACCCCAAGGCCTCGGTTTCTTCGTCCTGGGACAGCAGCCGCGGCAGGTTAGTTCGTCGGTGACTGAAAGATCCCACTGAGTTTCTGAAATGTTTTAGTTTTCTGATCTGAATTTTCTGATGTTGCAGTGTTTTGAGTGGGAATTCAAATGCTAGCAGGAGAAGCAGGAGAAATGTATGTTATTTCTTGCATAATATGTGACAATTGATGTGCATTTGCTATAATGAGTTTAACATTTCTGTGTGTGGCAGAGCTTGGACTCATCGACTACAATGGGAAGCAGAAGATCAAAGAAGAAGCAGGTTAAGGTCACTTCATTGAAGCCGTTTAAACTTAGAACTGAGGTATGAGCTTCTCAGATTAAAATATACTGAAAGTTTTCGGATTTGATGGTAGAAACTGATTCCTGAGTCCTGACTGTTGGTTGGTCTTTTTGTTTCTCTGCAGCAAAGAGGTAGAATGAAAGAGGAAGAGTTTGCAAAGAAGCTTCAAGAAATGACCATGGAGGAAGACAAGTTGAGAATCCCTGTTGCTCAAGGTCTTCCATGGACAACCGATGAGCCTGAGGTAAGACTGATGCTAAGCCTATTAACATCCAGTTTGATCTTGCAAGATATGAAGTGGTCAAGTTAGGATTCTAATGTTATTTTTTTTTTTTCTGTTTCAGTGTCTAGTCAAGCCTCATGTGAAAGATATTACAATACCAGTCGACTTGACGCTCCACTCAGATGTCAGGGCTGTAGAACGCGCGGAATTTGACAACCAGGTTAAGCCTCGCTGGCACTGATAACAGTCTTGCATGGTTCCACTAAATGTCTTCATTGTTTAAGAGTGTGAATTTTGTTGTTATAGGTTGCCGAGAAGCTGAGCTTAATTGAGCAATACAAAATGGAAAGAGAGAGACAACACAAGGTAAAGAAAGTTATATACAATATTAGAGTATTGCTTTTGCTTTAGTTGTTTTTAATAATCCATATCTCTTTCTTTTGCAGATGGCAGAGGAAGAAGAGATAAGAAGGCTGAGGAAAGAGTTGGTCCCAAAGGCGCAACCAATGCCCTACTTTGATCGACCATTCATTCCAAGAAGGTAAAAATAAATTACTTTGATCGACCATTCTGTATCACAGACAATCATAGGCTGCTTTATTCTGTGTGAATTACAATTGCTTCTTCTTGGTTTTCCTTTTATCATCCAACAGGTCGAGCAAGCATCCAACCGCACCAAGAGATCCCAAGTTTCACATACCGCAACACAAGAAGATAAGATGCTGCAGCAGTTCATCTTCTTGGAGTGAAACTGGCTCCTGCATGAGTGATCTCCATTATCAGTATCTTTGAAAAAGAAGCTTCTTGTGGTTTTGCATTTACTTGCAGTGATATTTCCCTGTCCATATTCTCATTTTCAAAACTACATTATCTTCTTCTGTACAAGATTCAAAGAAGCAACCAATTAGTTGCAAGTGTTATAGATATTTGCCAATCATTCTTGTTTTGTTTCCACCTTTGTAATAAAACTGGTCTTACACCCCAAAAAATGAGAAAGTTTTCATATCTCTTTTCAGATCCGATTTACTCTCTGGTGTAGTTCTGGTTCATAAAGATAAAGATACCCTCCACATATATATTACATGTAATATCTCTTTTTTGGCAGCATATATATTACATGCTTTCAGTTTCAAATTGAATGCTTTCACTTATTGCTATATTAACTCAGTAACTTTATCATACCAAAAAAAAAAAAAACTCAGTAACTTTATTATAGTACATTATTAAATACTTTGACCGAAAAATATATTGTTGATATTCAGTTTCCAAGTATATACAAGTCTTTTATAAGTCTCACTACCATTCTCCAATATTAAGAAAACAGAAATCTTATCATAAAAACATCTGACCTAAACATGGTTGTATTTGGGAAAAACAACTTGGTTCCTTTATTGATGTTTTTTCTTCTTGTTACTTCATCATATGGAAGCTTCAATGTGAAACTTTTAGACGGTGAGGTGAACACCATCTGCTCACGTGATGTTAATCCTTCTTTTTGCTTCAATTTGTTTAAATCGACTCCTGGTATTAAAACACTAAATCTTCCTGACACCGCAAAGTTTTTGATCAATTATGCATCACAAGATGCTTTGGATTTACAAAAGCAATTCGAGTCACTCGTTCAAAAAACGAAAGATCCTCAATCTAAAAATATTTACAGTCAATGCTCAGAAAATTATGAATATGCTATTAGCGAGTTTAATGTCGCCCTCCAAGCATTGGCAGAAAAGGACAATCTCACCTTAAATGTTAAAGTGTCGGCTGCGATGACACAAGGAGATTCATGCAGCTCCGAGTTGCCAAGTGTTAAACCTAGTCCACAACTTTTGAAGAAAATTTCGGATATGGACAATGTGTCAAACATTGTATTGATAATTTCTAATATATTACCTAAAAATTAATAAAATATTATAAAGATTAACCACAATCGAGGTAAACATGTTAGTAACCGAACCTTCTTCAAAAAGGTCTAAGGGGTAAGCTACATACGCAATAAATTGAGTTTCTTCTCCTGGAACGGGCTCGATGTGGTAGCATCGTCCTTTGTAACGATCAAGGCTGGTAAGCCCATCGGTCCACACAGTTGTCCATGTACCAGTCGAAGATTCAGCCGCTACCGCAGCCCCTGCTTCTTCGGGTGGAACTCCGGGTTGCGGAGTGACTCGGAATGCTGCCAAGATATCAGTATCCTTGGTTTCATATTCAGGAGTATAATAAGTCAATTTATACTCTTTAACACCAGCTTTGAATCCAACACTTGCTTTAGTCTCTGTTTGTGGTGACATAAGTCCCTCCCTACAAGTCATGAATTTAGAATTCTTGCAATAAAACAAAACAACAAGGTCTACTCGACATAAATTAGGAATAGATTTAATTAACCTTTTGCACAGGAATCGTTCACACAATTATCAACTAATCAGAATGATTCTTTATTAGACCATGATATTTGATTCGCCAAATACATCATTATTGTATATTCTTTCATATGTATAGCGCAACCTAATACTTGTTTTTCAAGTTTTGAATCTTTGACTTTTTATAAATCGAAATATTTAATATTAAAATAATAATAAAATCACTCTTGACAGTAATAAATGTTATATATGTAAATCCTAGATATGACAATATGCGGAATTAATCCACGAAAATGAAAAAAAAAAAGCTAATGAGATCGAAATAATGAATAAGAAATCTAGTTTCGAATTCGCTAGATAAAAAAGAGTCTTGCCTATTATGATAAAGAAATCAAAGACTTTCCGCAAATTTTTTTTTAAGTAGGTTTCGGTTAGTTGAGCTTGAAAATGACCATTCCTTCATTGAATAAGTAAAAGAATAAGTAAAAACTGGAATTGCACATTCGCTTGGGTGGTACCAACGAAACCGAGTGCTTACTCCCATCTATTATTGAATTAACCGATCAATTTGCTATCGACGATTTTTTATGTATTCGAAAAATTGCGCAACAAAATTTAACATATTTTTTTTATTATGAGAATAAATCCTACTACTTCGGATCCAGAGGTTTTGATACGTGAAAAAAAAAACCTGGGACGGATTGCCCAAATCATTGGTCCGGTACTGGATGTAGCCTTTCCCCCGGGCAAGATGCCTAATATTTACAATGCTCTGGTGGTTAAGGGTCGAGATACTCTTGGTCAAGAAATTAATGTGACTTGTGAAGTACAGCAATTATTAGGAAATAATCGAGTTAGAGCTGTAGCTATGAGCGCGACAGAGGGTTTAAAGAGAGGAATGGACGTGGTTGATATGGGAAATCCTCTAAGTGTTCCAGTCGGCGGAGCGACTCTAGGACGTATTTTCAACGTACTTGGGGAACCTGTTGATAATTTAGGCCCTGTTGATACCCGCACAACATCTCCTATCCATAAATCCGCGCCTGCTTTTATACAATTAGATACAAAATTATCTATTTTTGAAACAGGAATTAAAGTAGTAGATCTTTTGGCCCCTTATCGTCGTGGGGGAAAAATAGGACTATTCGGTGGGGCTGGCGTGGGTAAAACAGTACTAATTATGGAATTGATCAACAATATTGCCAAAGCTCATGGTGGTGTATCCGTATTTGGTGGAGTAGGCGAACGGACTCGTGAAGGAAATGATCTTTACATGGAAATGAAAGAATCTGGAGTAATTAATGAACAAAATCTTGCGGAATCAAAAGTAGCTCTAGTCTACGGTCAGATGAATGAACCGCCGGGAGCTCGTATGAGAGTTGGTCTGACTGCCTTAACTATGGCAGAATATTTCCGAGATGTTAATGAGCAAGACGTACTTCTATTTATCGACAATATCTTCCGTTTCGTACAAGCAGGATCCGAGGTATCCGCCTTATTGGGTAGAATGCCTTCGGCTGTGGGTTATCAACCCACCCTTAGTACCGAAATGGGTTCTTTACAAGAAAGAATTACTTCTACGAAAAAAGGGTCCATAACCTCTATTCAAGCAGTTTATGTACCTGCGGACGATTTGACTGACCCCGCTCCTGCCACCACATTTGCACATTTAGACGCGACTACCGTACTATCAAGAGGATTAGCTGCCAAAGGTATCTATCCAGCAGTAGATCCTTTAGATTCAACGTCAACTATGCTACAACCTCGAATCGTTGGCGAGGAACATTATGAAACTGCGCAACAAGTCAAGCAAACTTTACAACGTTACAAGGAGCTTCAGGACATTATAGCTATCCTGGGGTTGGACGAATTATCCGAAGAGGATCGCTTAACCGTAGCAAGAGCACGAAAAATTGAGCGTTTCTTATCACAACCCTTTTTCGTAGCAGAAGTATTTACAGGTTCTCCGGGAAAATATGTTGGTCTAGCGGAAACAATTAGAGGGTTTAAACTGATCCTTTCCGGAGAATTTGATTCTCTTCCCGAACAGGCCTTTTACTTAGTGGGTAACATCGATGAAGCTACTGCGAAGGCTACGAACTTAGAAATGGAGAGTAAATTGAAGAAATGACCTTAAATCTTTGTGTACTGACTCCGAATCGAATTGTTTGGGATTCAGAAGTAAAAGAAATTATTTTATCTACTAATAGTGGGCAAATTGGCGTATTACCAAATCATGCGCCGATTGCCACAGCTGTTGATATAGGTATTTTGAAAATACGCCTTAATAACCAATGGTTAACGATGGCTCTGATGGGCGGTTTTGCTAGAATAGGCAATAATGAAATCACTATTTTAGTAAATGATGCAGAGAAGAATAGTGACATTGATCCACAAGAAGCTCAGCAAACTCTTGAAATAGCAGAAGCTAACTTGAGAAAAGCTGAAGGCAAGAGACAAACAATTGAGGCAAATCTAGCTCTCAGACGAGCTCGTACACGAGTCGAGGCTCTTAATACGATTTGATTTTGTAACTAGCTGACGTGTAAAAAAAAAGAATGTATAAAAAAAAATAGGATCGAAAGGCGAGAAAAACAAAAAAAGAAAAAAGCTGGTTACAAAAACTTATTAGACACCATGAATCATGGTGTCTAATAAGTTATACCTACTATTGGATTTGAACCAATGACTCCTGCCGTATGAAAGCAATACTCTAACCACTGAGTTAAGTAGGTTATTTATCATCGTAAAGAGAAAGCAAGGGGGTACCTATCACATCGATAGGATTATAAATCTAATATTATTTCTAAGCAATACCAATAAACAACGAGATTCAAGAGATATAATGTTCGATCATATAATATTAATCTTGACAAGAAATTATCTACATGATAAGATAAAATGTGTATCACAAATACAAGGGCTATAGCTCAGTTAGGTAGAGCACCTCGTTTACACGTGCGCCAAAGTTTTTCAGAGGAGTTCATCACGCAATCAAACCAATTGATTGATCTTATTAATAAATCGATGTCTTACTCCACGACTTTTTTTTAGGAAAAAAAGAGGAGAACAACAGCCTGACATTAGGTCCTATTAAAGTACCCCGTTAGGTAGGGGATGAATAGAACCCATCATTGATTTGAGATATTGATAGGGTGAATACCTAGTCTACTTAATGCTAGGCAGAATGAGTATAAGGAACTCAAAAATGATCTTTTCGTCCTATGAACCTTAAGGTGTATCAAGTTTCATGTTTGATTTTTTAATCAGGATGTTAGAGACTATATTTAACTTAAGTTGATCTAGACCAAAAGCAAACCTACGTCAAGAGAACCCAACCCTCTTTTGAAACACTTTGGTAGTTCTTCTGTATTGTATTAGAATTAAAAAAACCAATCAGAGTACTTGGAACCATTTCTTATCTTTTTTTTTAAGAAAAAATTTGGTAGACTAACTGATCCTTCTATCAGTTAATGAAAGAGCCCAATGCAAACAAAAATGCATGTTGGGTCTTTGAAAGAGTTCGAATCATTTTGATAATAATAAGTTCGAACTCTTTTACCGAGCAGGTCTACGGTTCGAGTCCGTATAGCCCTAACTAAGACTAAGAAATTGAGTCGAATAAATGACATTCAAATCAAAATAATTGGATAATTTTTTTTACTTAATTATTGTATTCTTTATTTCTAACTGGTTACGTTCAATTACTTGGTTCATAAAAAAAATTCCCATACCCCAAACCATAAGTCCTGGGGATCGTTCAGAATAAAACGGAAAACGGCATTTTATTTCAATAGATCCAACCACTATCTATCGATATATCTAGATAGATACTTGATAGGTTAGAATAAACTTTTTTTTCTTCATTAATTTTCATAGTCGTAAGTGGATTTTTTGTTTATACTTCATAATTTAAAAAACAAAGAAATTTTTCTACATTTTTTTGATTTCTAACTAAAACATAACCAAAATTTCATAAACAGAAATCCAAAAAATTACTAGTTATTAATAATATTACTATTATATTATATATTATTAATATTAGAAACTATTAGTAATAGAAACGTGGAAATATTAAGTAATTAAGTGTACTTAAAATAAGATTACAATTAATAAATCTTAAAATGAGACGTCTACCACAGCAACCAAACGAAAAAAAATCATTCGATTAACCTGAATTTTTGTTTTGACTCAAGAGTTCTATATCCCTTGCCCAATCCACTCCGACTGGAATTGACTAGGCGGGTATTTTTTTTTCCACATTCATAGGAGTTCGTCTATGTTTCTGCTTTACGAATATGATATTTTCTGGGCATTTTTAATAATATCAAGTGCTATTCCTGTTTTGGCATTTCTAATTTCCGGAGTTTTATCTCCAATTAGGAAGGGGCCGGAGAAACTTTCTAGTTATGAATCCGGTATAGAACCGATCGGGGATGCTTGGTTACAATTTAGAATCCGTTATTATATGTTTGCTCTAGTTTTTGTTGTTTTTGATGTTGAAACCGTTTTTCTGTATCCGTGGGCAATGAGTTTCGATGTACTGGGGGTATCTGCTTTTATAGAAGCTTTCATTTTCTTGCTTATCCTAATTCTTGGTTTAGTTTATGCATGGCGAAAGGGAGCATTGGAATGGTCTTAGTTCGTTTCCTGAATACTTGTAAAAAAAAAAAAAAAGTAAAAAAAAACCATTGAAACAATTATGAATTCCATTAAGTTTCCCGTACTTGATCGAACAACAAAAAATTCAGTTATTTCAACTACGTTAAATCATCTTTCAAATTGGTCAAGACTTTCCAGCCTATGGCCGCTTCTTTATGGTACCAGTTGTTGTTTCATTGAATTTGCCTCATTAATAGGCTCCCGATTTGACTTTGATCGTTATGGGCTAGTACCAAGATCGAGTCCTAGACAGGCGGACCTTATTTTAACAGCAGGTACAGTAACAATGA